CCCAAACCCCCAAACCCCAAACCCCAAGCCCCCCAAGCCCCAAAGCTCCGGGCGGAACCCGGGACCGGCTCCGTCCCCCGGGGCACAACGAGCCCCCAATAAACGGAATTTCTGTTTAATTTAAAAGCTCCAAAGCCATAGAATCTATGATACAATGTACACTGTACACGGGGCACACACGGGAGAGGGGGAAAAAGGGAGGAAAAGGGGGAAAAGAAAAGAAAAAAGGAAGGAAAAAAGGGAAAAAATAAAAAAAGGGAGGAAAAAAGGGAAAAAATAATAAAAAATGAAGGGAAAAGGAAAAAAAAGGAAGGAAAAAGAAAAAAAAAGGAAGGAAAAAGAAGTAAAAATAAAAAAAAATAATGAAAGGTGGGAAAATAAAAAATAAGGAGGGAAAAGGGGAAAATAAAAAATAAGGAAGGAAAAAGGGGGGAAAATAAAAAAAGGGGGAAGGAAAAAGGAAAAAAAAAAAGGGCTGGAGTCCCAAAAATGCAAATAAAATTAAAAAAAAAAAAGGGGAAATGCCAACATTGCGTGGAAATAAAAACTGGGAGGGAGGAATTGGCCATGAGGAGGGGAAAAGGGAGTTTTGGGAGAAAACCCAGGGGATTAAATAGATTAGAAAAGCACTCATGATCCACAGGGAGTGTAAGGCAGCCTTCGTAGAAAAGGGAGCTCGGGGCAGGGCCCGGAGCTGGGGCTTTAAATACAGAGGAGGAATGTGCTGTGCAGCCCCCGGGGGGCTGGGGGGCTTCGGGGGCACCCGGGGGGCTTCGGGGGCACCCCCCGGCTCTGGGGGCCACAGGGGGGGCTCTGAGTCGCCCCACAGGGCTGGGGGGGCTCTGGGGCTACTCGGGGACACGCTGTGAGTTTGGGGGAGCTCTGAGTGACCCCCTGAACCTGTGGGGTCCCAGGGGGGCTCTGGGTTACACGGGAGGCTCTGGGTCACCCCCTGAGCCTGTGGGGTCACCCCTGGGCCTGTGGGGTCACCCCCTGAACCTGTGGGGTCACCCCTGGGCCTGTGGGGTCATCGGGAGGGGCTGAGGCACCCCCTGAGCCTGTGGGGGTCCCAGGGAGGCTCTGGGTGACCCCGAGGCCCCAGGGACACCCCCAGGGTCCCTGCCCGGAGTGCTGTGGGGTCAGGGCTGTGGGGCCAGGGCGGGGCTGCCCCCTGTCCCCACCCTACAGGTTCTTGGTGACCAGGTGTGTCTTGTAGTGCTTGGTCAGGTGGTCGGAGCGCATGAAGCGTTTCTGGCACTGCGCGCACTCGAAGCGTTTGTCACCTGCGGGAGAGGGGACGCTCAGGGCGGCACCCACGGGGACAGCCAGGGGAGGGACACCCCCAGGACGTGTCCCCATCCCTTCCCAGGACACCTCTGACATCACAGCCCCCCCAAAATCCTCCAGCCCCTCCCAGAACCAAGGGACAGCCTGCCCAGATCATCCCAGTGCCTCCCAGGGGGTGGTGGCTGGGTCCCCAGGGTCTATTGGGGGGGCTGCCCTGGGAATGGGGACCCTGCAGGGACACCCCAGCCCCTTGGGGGGCTCTGTCCTGGGAATGGGGACCCGGCAGGGACACCCCAGCCCCTTGGGGGGCTCTGTCCTGGGCACAGGGGATACCCCAGGGATCCCCCAGCCCTGTTGGGGGCTCTGCCCCGGGCACAGGGGATCCCCCAGCCCTGTGGGGGGCTCTGCCCCGGGCACAGGGGCTCCCCGGGGTGGTGCAGACCTGTGTGGGGGCTCTGCCCTGGGCACAGGGGATCTCCCAGCCCTGTGGGGGGCTCTGCCCCGGGCACAGGGGATCCCCCAGCCCTGTGGGGGGCTCTGCCCCGGGCACAGGGGATCCCCCAGCCCTGTGGGGGGCTCTGCCCCGGGCACAGGGGATCCCCCAGCCCTGTGGGGGGCTCTGCCCCGGGAATGGGGGATACCCCAGGGATACCCCAGCCCTGCTGGGGGCTCTGCCCCAGGAACGAGGGATCCCCCAGCCCTGTGGGGGGCTCTGCCCCGGGCACAGGGGCTCCCCGGGGTGGTGCAGACCTGTGTGGGGGCTCTGCCCTGGGCACAGGGGATCTCCCAGCCCTGCTGGGGGCTCTGCCCCGGGCACAGGGCTCCCTGGGGGTGCAGCCCTGTGGGGGGCTCTGCCCCGGGCACAGGGGATACCCCAAGGATACCCCAGCCCTGTTGGGGGCTCTGCCCTGGGCCCAGGGGATCCCCCAGCCCTGTTGGGGGCTCTGCCCCAGGAATGAGGGATACCCCAGCCCTGTTGGGGGCTCTGCCCTGGGCCCAGGGGATCCCCAGGGGGGTGCAGACCTCTGTGGGGGCTCTGCCCCGGGAATGAGGGATCCCCCAGCCCTGTTGGGGGCTCTGCCCCGGGCACAGGGGATCCCCCAGCCCTGTGAGGGGCTCTGCCCCGGGCACAGGGGCTCCCCCAGCCCTTTTGGGGGCTCTGCCCCGGGCACAGGGGCTCCCGGGGGTGCAGACCTGTGTGCGTGCGCGCGTGCCGCTGCAGCTCGTCGGAGCGCGTGAAGCGCTTGCCGCAGAACACCCAGTTGCAGACGAAGGGCCGCTCGCCCGTGTGCAGCCGCACGTGCGCCCGCAGCAGCGACGTCTTGCGGAACGTCCGCCCGCACTCGGGGATGTGGCAGATGTGCTTCTTCTTCCCGGGGTCGCCCGGCCTGCGGGAGAGGCGCGCTCAGCCCGGAGCAGGAGCCGGGAGGGCTCCGAGCCGGGACAGGCGGGGCAGGAGGGATGGACTGCACCGGGTTAGACCCGGGACAGGCGGGGCAGGAGCCGGGAGCCACACCGGGTTAGACCCGGGACAGGCGGGGCAGGAGCCGTGAGGGGTTAGAGCCGGGACAGGCGGAGATGGAGAAATAAATCGCTTTGGGTTAAACCCGGGACAGGCAGATCCAGAGGGATAAACTGCTCTGGGTTAGACCCGGGACAGACGGATCTGGAGGGATGAACCACTCCAGGTTAGCCCAGGAGAGGCGGATCCAGAGGGATAAACTGCTCTGGGTTAGCCCGGGAGAGGCAGATCCGGAGGGATAAACTGCTCTGGGTTAGCCCGGGAGAGGCAGATCCGGAGGGATAAACTGCTCTGGGTCAGCCCGGGAGAGGCGGATCCAGAGGGCTGAACCACTCCAGGTTAGCCCAGGAGAGGCGGATCCAGCGGGATGAGCCCTTCCCACGCTCAGAACCCACCGCTTGTCGCCGTCCTTGCAGTTGGGGCAGGTGCAGGCCATCCTCCTGCTCTTCTCGCCCGGCTGGATGTCCCCGGCCAGCGCCTGCTCCATCTGCAGCTGGATCTGGGTGGGGCTCAGCCCGCTGATGGTCACGTTGTTGCCGGACACGTTCTGCACCGTCAGCTGCTGCTGGCCTGCGGAGAAGGGCAGAGGGGCAGTCAGGAGCCATCCACGCTCCTCCCGTTCCTCGGGAGCAGGAAGAGCCCGGGCAGATCCCACATGCAGCACAGCCCCTTTGCCACGTGCCTCTCCCGGTAAGTCCCTTTTTTCTGAATATACTGTGCGGTTTTTCAAAGTTTTCAAAAAAAGTTTTTTCGACCCTTTTAGGGGGGCGGGGAAAAAAAAGGGCTCAAAGAGGAAACAAAAAAGAAACTTTGAAAAAACGTGCAATATATTGAGCAAAAAAACGGGACTTACCCAGCAGCCTAAGGGCCGCTCCAGGCTCGGGCGTCCCGGGCAGCCGCGACAGGCGCTGCAAAGAAGAAGACGGGGTCAGCGTCAGCAAGCGGGGTCGGGGCTGGGATTGGGATGGGGATTGCTGCTCCCGGGGCAGCAGCAGCACGAGGAGGAGCAGGGGAAGGACAAGGGGCGGCAGCGGAGGAGCAGAGGCAGCAGGGAGGGAGAGCAGGCACAGCGAGGAGCCGCGGGCGGGAAGCGCCAAGGCGGAGGTGGCAGCAGGGGCGATGTCCCGGCTGAGCCCGGCTCGGCTCGGCTCGCCCGAGGGCAGCAGGTGCTGCCGGGCCCCTCCACGGTAATTGGAGGGTCTAATTAAACCAGACCCCCCCTCCAAAGCCAGTCCTGGGAGGGCAGCAGAGGGGGAATTCTGCTGACGCCTGGCGAGGAGCAGCAGAGTGCCGGGGCTGGGCTGAGCTCAGCCCAGAGGGAGGCAGCACAAACCCAGGGCTGGGCTGAGCTCAGCCCAGAGGGAGGCAGCACAAACCCAGGGCTGGGCTGAGCTCAGCCCAGAGGGAGGCAGCACAAACCCAGGGCTGGGCTGAGCTCAGCCCAGAGGGAGGCAGCACAAACCCAGGGCTGGGCTGAGCTCAGCCCAGAGGGAGGCAGCACAAACCCAGGGCTGGGCTGATCAGCCAGGGATAGAAGTGCCCACACACAGACCCCCCCTCCAAAGCCAGTCCTGGGAGGGCAGCAGAGGGGGAATTCTGCTGACGCCTGGCGAGGAGCAGCAGAGTGCCGGGGCTGGGCTGAGCTCAGCCCAGAGGGAGGCAGCAGAAACCCAGGGCTGGGCTGAGCTCAGCCCAGAGGGAGGCAGCACAAACCCAGGGCTGGGCTGAGCTCAGCCCAGAGGGAGGCAGCACAAACCCAGGGCTGGGCTGATCAGCCAGGGATAGAAGTGCCCACACACACAGCTCCTCCCTCGGGGACAGGGCTGGCCCTGGACTGGGTCAGGGGGGCTGCAGGGACCTGACACTCCCAGGACTGGGAGCAGCGGGCCGTGCCCGGCTGGTCTGGGGCTCAGGGAGAGCCCTGCAGTGAGGGGTTCACCCCTGGAATGCTGATCTCTGGAATGAGGGGTTCACTCCTGCAGTGAGGGGTTCACCCCTGGAATGCTGATCCCTGAATGTGGAGCTGGAAAAGTGGAGCTGGGTGTGTGACTGTGCCTCTCCTGGGTTTGGGAGCTTGGGAGAGCTCCTCGTTCCCAGGGGTGCAGAGGATGTTCCAGGGGATGGGGATCTGGAATGGGACCCAAGGGAGATGTTCCAGCCCCAGGAAACCTCAGGTGCCTCCTGCAGCTTGGCACGGCCGGGTTGGGCAGGCAGCCACCCCTGTCACCCACAGCTCTCCAGGATGTGCTTGGAATCACGCAGAGACACTCTGGGAAACACTCCTGGCTTGTGGGAGCAGAAGGTGCTGACACTGCAGAGCCCCTGGGGGGCATGAGGGATCTGCTCTGATCTGATCTGATCTGATCTGGGGACATCCCATCCTTGGGAGGCTCAGGGAGCTGCCCACTGTCCCCGTCCTCCCTCAGGGGCATGACAGATCTGATCTGATGAGGATTCCACTCCACATTCCCATCCTCAGGAAGCTCAGGGAGCTGCCCACTGTCCCTGTCCCCCTCAGGAGCACGAGGGATCTGTTTTAATCTGATCTGCTCCAGGGGGGATTCCATCCCACATTCCCATCCTTGGGAGGCTCAGGGAGCTGCCCATCATCCCTGTGCCCCTCAGGAGCACGAGGGATCTGTTTTAATCTGATCTGATCTGTTTTAAGGACATCCCACACTCGGGAAGCTCAGGGAGCTGCCCACCGTCCCTGTGCCACTCAGGAGCACGAGGGATCCGATTCAACCTGACCTGCTCCAGGGGGATTCCCTCGCACATGCCCGCCCCCCGCCACCCACCTGCGCTGCTGGTGATGGTGACGGGCACGCCCTGCACCTGCACGCCGTTGATGCTGATGGTCTGCATGGCCTGGGCGGCCGCGGCCAGCTGCGCCGCGCTCAGGCTCAGGACGCCGCCGGCCGGGGCGATCTTGGGCAGCGGCCGCTCCTTGCGCGGGGCCGCCCTGCGGCCGGGCCCGGCGCCGCCGCAGGAGCCCGGCGCCAGCGACGAGGCCTCCTGCAGCAGCACGGTCTGCAGCTCGCCGGACGGCGTCTTGAAGTAAACCTGCGGGGGAGCAGGGAGCGCGGCTGGGGTTGGGGGGTGGGATGGGCCCGCGCAGCTCGGAATGGGCTCGGGTTGGGATTTCGGGATGTTGGAGGTTGTTTTAGCTTCCTGCTGCTGGGCTTGGACACTTGCAGGGATGGGGAAGTCACGGCGTGTCTGGGAAATGCAGCCCAGCCCTCCCCACCCTCGCTGGGAAGTGAATCTGGGAGCCCCTGGGGAAAGGAGAAAGCCCCTGGATTTTGCACAAGGCAACACAAAGACACCAACGCCTCTCCCACCTCCCTTGGTGAGCCCGGAGCTCCAGCAGGCTGGCTCATCCCAGCCCCAGCTCTGCACACTGAGCTCCTCCATATCCTACAAAAGCAGCTGCAGCTCCTAAATCTCTGCAGAGGGCACGGCTGCACTCCCAACCTCCATCAGCAATGATGAACCAAACTCCAAGCTGGGAATATCCCCCAAAGCCCCCCAGCTCCTCAGTCCTGGGCGAGGATCAGAGAGGAACAACAGTTCCTAAATCCCTGCAGAGGGCACGGCTGCTCTCCCAACCTCCATCAGCAATGATGAACCAAACTCCAAGCTGGGAATATCTCCCAAAGCCCCCCAGCTCCTCAGTCCTGGGCGAGGATCAGAGAGGAACAACAGCTCCTAAATCCCTGCAGAGGGCACGGCTGCACTCCCAACCTCCATCAGCAATGATGAACCAAACTCCAAGCTGGGAATATTTCATAAAACCCTCCAGGTGCTCAATCCTGGAGGAGGATCAGAGAGGAACAACAGTTCCTAAATCCCTGCAGAGGGAAAGGCTACACTCCCAACCTCCATCAGCAATGATGAACCAAACTCCAAGCTGGGAATATCTCCCAAAGCCCCCCAGCTCCTCAGTCCTGGGCGAGGATCAGAGAGGAACAACAGTTCCTAAATCCCTGCAGAGGGCACGGCTGCTCTCCCAACCTCCATCAGCAATGATGAACCAAACTCCAAGCTGGGAATATTTCATAAAACCCTCCAGGTGCTCAATCCTGGAGGAGGATCAGAGAGGAACAACAGTTCCTAAATCCCTGCAGAGGGAAAGGCTACACTCCCAACCTCCATCAGCAATGATGAACCAAACTCCAAGCTGGGAATATCTCCCCAAACCCCCAGCTCCTCAGTCCTGGGGGAGAACCAGAGGGGAACACCAGGGAGAAGATTCCAAGGGGGCCGTACCTGGGTGGGGGTGGGCTCGGCCGCCTGGATCTGGAAGTTCTGGGAGGGTTTCTGGGGCACGGTGGGCAGCGTGGCTGAGGCCGCCTGCACCACGCGCAGCGCCTGCTGCGGGATCTGCACCACCTGCGACTCCTGCTTGGGCTGCACCACCTGCAGCTGCTGCAGCACGGCGGGCTGCCCCGCGGCGGGGCTCTGCACGATCAGCAGGTTGCTGCCAGCCTGGATGATGTTCTCGGCCGTGGTCTCGATCAGCACCGTCTCCACCTGCTCGGCCACGGCCACGGCGGCGGGCTGCCCGGGGGACGCGGCCTTCCTGCGAGCCTTTTTGCCGGCTTTGGAGGGGCTGTCCGTGAGCAGCTGGGCCTGCCCAGCCTCGGGGCTCACCAGGTTGTTGAGGGGCAGGGTCAGGGTGACGTTGCCACCCCCGGGCAGTTTGACCACGCCGCCCGACGCCGCCTTCTGCGCCGGGGCCGGCTTGATGGGCACGGGCTTGTGCGAGGAAGAGGAGGGCGTGAGGATGGCCTGGTTGGTGCCTGGGATGATCTGGATCTGGTTAGGCTGCACCTGGATGGTCTGAGCCCCGCCGGGCTGCAGCTGCGGCACCGCCTGGTACTGGATGTTGGAGGAGGAAGAGGAGGACGAGGAGGAGGAGGAGGAAGAGGAGCGCGAGCCTTTGTTGAGCACGGCCGCGTTCTGGATGGCGAAAACCAGCTGCCCCCCGGGGTAGGAGGCGCCCACCTGGGAGCCCTGGATCTGGAAGAGGTTCCCCTTGGAGGACAGGATGCCGATGCCGCCCTTGGCCGCGCCCAGGGGCAGCGGGGCGGGTTTGATGGGCACCAGCTTGCGGGGCGCGGGCTGGGGCGGCGCCGGCGGCGCGGCCGCGGCCTCCACGGCCGGGGGGCCGATCTTGCTGCATGTGGCTGCCAGCAGGGCCAGGGGAGAGGGCTGCGAGTCCTGGGGAGAGAGGGCAGTCAGCGCCAGCACCCGCAGGAACAGCTCTGAGACAGCCCTGGTGAGACAGCCCTCGTTAGGGGAGCTGATTAATTACCCGCGTGTGGCGGAATTCCCGAATACATGAGGTCGGAAAGGATCTTTGGCAGTGTCCAGTCTGACCTGGGGGACACTTTGTCACCCCCAGCATGGCACTGAGGGCCACGTCCTGTCTTGCCTAAACACCCCCAGGTGACTCCAGCACCTTTCTGGGCAGATCACCCCAATTCCCAATGATTCTGTGAAGGAATTCCTGCCTCTGTCCAGCACTCAGTGCTTTCAGCAGGGGTGACATTTAAAATCCCATCCCCGTGTCCCTAAATCCTTTTAAACCCCATCCTTGTGTCCTTAAAACCATCCTAAAGCTTGAAAGCATCCTTAAAACCATCCTAAAGCTGGGGACTTCCTGGGGTTTCCCCTTGGAGCATCACAGGCAGCTCCAAGCCCAACATCCCGATATCCCGCCCGAGGTGCGGGCTGGGAACAGCAGAGACGCTCGGGGAGCAGGAAGAGCAGCGGGACTGGGACTGGGACTGGGAACGAGCCCCCGCGAGGCTGCAGGGCTGTCCCCGGGCGGGGCCGGGCTCACCTGGGCGGCGGAGGCGGCGGGCTGCAGGTACTCGCTGGGGCTGACGGCAGCGGTGGCAGCCATGCTGTCCCTGCAGCTGCGGGGACACAGCACGGAGGGATCAGCTCCCCGGGGACAGCCTGCTGCCCCCCAGAGCCCCCAGAGCCACCCCACCTCACGCCGTGGGGCTGCCCCCCGCGTCACCTCCTCCCCGGGGTTTGGCTCTGTTTGGGTCCCAAGGAGCATTCCTGCGTTTCCCTGGTTTTGCTGAATTCCAGCACAGCCTTGGCTGCAAGGAGCAGCTCCCCAAAACCGGCAGGGCCCAGCTTCAAAGCAGGTGTGCCCAGAGAGCCAAAATCTGCCCACTTCCGAGCAAGATCTTCCCAGCCCCAAATCTTCCCATTCCCAGCCCCGAATCTTCCCATTCCCAGCCTGAAATCTTCTTGTTCACAGCCTGAAATCCTCCCAGTTCCACCCAAAAATCTTTCCATTCCCAGCCTGAAATCTTCTTCCTTAGAGCCCCAAATCTTCCCATTCCCTGCCTGAAATATTCCCGTTTTTCAGGGATTTTGAGTGGCTGTTCCCTCCCCTCCATCGGAATTTAGGGCAGAGCTGAGGATCAACAGCCCCAGCTGCGAATCCGGCCTGGGAGGAGGCAGACCCCAGCCAGGGAGATCCCATTCTTCTGGAGAAATCCCTGGAAAAACCCCCTTTTCCCTAAAGAAATCCCATTCTCCCTGGAGAAATCCCATTTTCCCAGAAAAATAAATCGGGATATTGATGCCCAGTGTGATCCCTCTGTGTGTTTCCCACTCGTGGTGAAGCAGAGCCCCCAAAATCTGGGAACCACCCCAAATCCCACCAGGGAAATCTGGGAACCACCCCAAATCCCACCAGGGGAATGAATCCCACAAGGAAATTTGGGAAGCATCCTGAATCCCACCAGGGGAATGAATCCCACCAGGAAAAACAGCCCAAATCCTATCAGGGGAATGAATCCCACAGGGAAATCTGGGAACCATCCCGAATCCCACAGGGAAATCTGGGAACCAGCCCGAATCCCATCAGGGACCCCCGAGCATCCCCGGGACCCCCGAGGCGCCCCCGCCACCCCCGGGCCGGGCTGAGGCGGCGACCCCCGGGGGTCCCCTCAGCTCCGGGTCCCCCTCATCTCCGAGCCCCCCTCATCTCCCGGGGTCTCCCCTCATCTCCGAGCCCCCCTCATCTCCCGGGGTCCCCCCTCATCTCCCGGGGTCCCCCCTCATCTCCGGGGTCTCCCCTCAGCTCGGGCCCCCCCCGCTCGGGCGGTCCCGGGGGAGGCGGGTCCCACAGGCCGGGCCCGCCCCCGACCAGGCCCCGCTGCCGGAAGCGCCGCCCGCCCGCCGGGCGCCGGGGG